CTGGCCTATACCACTGATGGAATTCATAGCATTGGTGTATCTGTATCAGGGTTTAACAGGTTGTCCTTGTTGATGATGTGGCCTTCGCCCACCACCGCCCGCCGACCCCTAAAGACAAGTGACTGGGAGTGCGGGCGAGTTTTCGAGATACGTAAACCCTAAACCCTTAAACCCCTAAACCCTCAACCCGGAAACCCTAAACTCTAGACCCTAAGCCCTAAACCCTAAACCCTAAACCCTAAACCCTCAACCCTACACTTCAGTTCTGGGACTCGGCTGCTGGGGTTGGTTCCCCGCAATTAAAATTAATATCGGGGCCCGAATAATTACAATAGGGTTTGCGGGCACCTTTAAAGGGTTCTACAAGGGCTACTATAATATATAAGGGTTCAGGGTTTAGGGGCCTTTGGAGGGAATGGGCCCCAAAACCCTATTCGAATTATTAATGCCCCTATATTAGCGGCCAGGAAGGAAGCCGAGCTCGAGTCCAAACGGCTGGCGACGGAGGTCACCAAGGCGCCATAAAGGGGTCTTTGTGTCTGTGGTGTTTTTGTTGATCGGGTGGAGGGCGTAGTGTTCGATTTTTGTAGATGTTCCTAGGAGTGAACTGTTTGCGGTGCTTGGCATTCATGAGTGTGGCGAATGTAATCAGGGTTTCCGGGCTTGTCGGAGTGCCTTCAGGCTTTGGTTGGGAGTTTAAATGCAGCAGAAGTGTTGTCGGGTTGCAGGATCGATTTGAAGTGTGATTTGTGGTGTAGGTTTTGTTGAGGCTCTTTGGTGGTTAAGCCAGTTAAGCAGAGTGTAACATCCTGATATTGTGATCTCAAAAACAGCCTAGCACTTGACCAGCATCTGAGTTTCATGCTTGCAGAGCCAGAGAGCAAGCGTTTTCGGACCAGAGAAGTTTAAATAATCAGGCGCCCTGTGATGTATCATGGTCAAGAGAAAGTCTTGAACTCATTTGGCTACTTAGACCCTCCATCCACCCTCGATTAAACCCTAAAATGCCCAGTGTTTGGATTCAGAAACCCTATTTCAGGGTACGAGGAGGGTCCTGGTACTCTCCTGTTGTCATCAGAGAAGCAGAGATAGTGGGTGCGGACGAGCGAAGCCAGGCTTCTTTGGACTTGTTGGCTGGGAATGCGAACGGTTCGCAACTTGATTGTTCGGGTTTTGGGGTTAGGGTTTAGGGCTAACGATTCGCAAGTCTTTAACTTGGGCAATAGACTCATGTGATATGTTGGCCGTTCGTAACAAGTGCATCTATAAAAGAAGCTGCTGACAAAGTCAGCTGAGTTGAGGCCAATCGAAGATACCTGGGTGGGTGTCTGCAGCTGGGCTGACGTCATGGTATCAATTCTGAAGGATAAATTATCAAGAGTCTTGGGGTGGCTCTGACTACGTTGCCAAGTTCTCGCCCAGACACGACCCAGGAGATGTTCCCGCAGAGCGAGTCTTGGGCAAAGCAATCGTTAAGCGATTGTTGGAGAATGGGATAAGCCTCAACAAGAGTACATCCCATATGCCTCGATGATACGATGGAGGCCTCTGTAAGGAAACCCCCAAGCCAGAAACCCGGTAATGTGGGGCCTGATTGTTAAGAAGGTAATTCGTAGAACTATACGAGAATAGGTTTAGGGTCAGTGAGTCAGGGTATGTATATCTAAATTTTTTTCAACCATGAAGGGCGTTATATCAGACCCCTAAACCCTGAACCCTAAACCCAGCCAGAAGCCCAAAAGCCCGGCTTAAACCCTACAGTAAATCAACCCCCAACCCTAACCAAGACCCACCCCCCCCAAGGGTTCAGGGTTTCGGGTTTAGGGGTCCTCAATAACTCTGGGGTATTTGGAGCATGATCGAGAGTAGTTGGGGCGTCTAGGAATCAAACCCTCGACCCCAAACCCCAAGCCCTAAACCGCTTCTAAACCCTAAAGCCTAAACCCCAAGAATTTAGGGTTTAGGGTTGAGGAAACCCGAGACCCTAAACCCCGAAGCCCTCTAAATCACGTGGGTGGTCGAAATTATGGTCCCTTTTTGGGTCCTTATTGTAATACGGCACCTATTATTTAGGGTACCCCAAAGAAGGGGACCCTAATTTTGACAACTACCCACGTGCATCAGGGCATGTTGCGTGCCACCGTCGACCAGCTGGCACGAGGCCTCTTTCGCGTTTGGAGGGTTTAGGGTTTAGGGTTTAGGGTTTAGGTTTTAAACTTTACCCGAACGGTCTAAATCACTCAAGAAATAATCGAAATTCAAGGGGTATCAGTTCAGGGAGTATTTGATTTTTGATCCATGGGTCCGGGCCAGCACAGCGCCTAGACGAGGCAGAAGCCTTCATATGTCTAATCCTGCGACGGCGAATTTCTCCGCCTTATGATCAACATAATAAGGTCTAGGGAGGTATATTCCGCTTCTTTGCTACAAGCATATAGGGACTAGGGACCACATGGGGTACCATTGCTGTTGTACAAGCACCTACTTCCTAATAAGACACAGTGCAAGTTTGAGTCGCTGGAGAGTCCTTCCGCCACTTCCTCCAGCACCAGTAAGATCAGGTGGGATTGCACCCTCGTAGACTAACCTTTGTGAAACCCGTAAAAGGAACCTTGTAAGTGAGCCCGACTCCAATTCTTGCGGCACGAAACCCCCGAACCCTAAACCCCAAAACCCCATACCCCCGAACCCCAAAAGCCTAAATCTCTAAACCCCAAAACCCCATACCACCGAACCCCAAAAGCCTGAACCTCTAAACCCCAAAACCCTTCGTCAGGCATCATTGTGGTGGTGGACTTGCGGAGACCCCTTGGTTGCGTGTGCCTCCGTCGCAAGACCCTATGGTTTCGATCCCATAGGGTCCAAAGTACCTATGGAGAAGAATGTAGAATTTCTATAGTAGGAATCACTATTCTGATTTGGGGAAGTATGCCCCATAGCAGTACCTATGACCCCTTGGGATCTGCTCAAGGGTTTCTAGGGTGTAAAATGTTCAGGGTTTAGGATTCGGGTAGTAATTACTCACCAGTTTAAGGACATATACCGGGAACTCATGACAGGCTCATTATAGGGAAAGTTGAAAAGGGTAGGGTTTGAGGTTTAGGGTTGTACATTCCCCAGAATTCCCCAGAAGTAGCCTGTTGCCCTGTTTATGTTTGCACCTTGAAAGTGGATTAGGCAAAAGGGCATCCTTAGTGCTAAAAGGACACTGGGGTAGGGGTTTCTTGGGTTTTGGGCTCGGAGTCTTCAGGTTTTAGGGTTGAGGGGCCTTGTCCCCGGCTCTTCATAGAGGGTTATCTCTCAAAAGTAGAAAGCGGCCACGGTTTAGGGGGTTTAAGGTTTAGGTTAAGGTTTAGGCGAAGATCCCTCAACAGTAGAAAGCGGACATAATGAGATTAGTGAGGGCACAAAGCTTCATCGAGGAGTATGTGGAATCTCTGCTAAGGTTCAACGACTTCCTTGTCACGAAGACCGTGCAGGAGGACGGTGCAGAGCCTTTCTCAAGCCTGCGTTGCCGCATGCAGCTTCCTAAAGCCCTCTAAGCCCGAAGTCTGAAATCCAAAAGCACTTACATAGACACAGGTACAACACAGAGAGAGACTCACAGAGTACGACCTTTCATGCAATAGCGGCAGCTCTATCTTGGACTGTTTGGTTGGAGAGTTAATCCGAATGTCTGACTCAGAAGCAGTAGCACCATTCTGTTTGAGATTTGCTGCCGATGATGATTGTGGCGAAGATTAGGCTGATGTGCTTCTTAGGTGTCGGGGTTTCAGTGTCCTTACCCTCATCATCAGCACCATTACCGCTGTCACCTCAACCGACAGCACAACTGCCACCACCACCTCCATTTTCCTCATCTTCTTGAAATCCTCACGGCGATGTTCATAATGAGGAGAGTGACGATGCCCACCATGATGCAGACGAAAAGCATCCCACAATTCGTAAAACCCTGATCCCTAAACTAAACCCTTACCTCGACGTCGATTTTGCTTTTGGCAAAGTCAGTACGCCGGCCCTCTGACAAGCCCCGAGCCCTCTAGTCTAAACCCTGAATCCCTAGCCTAGATCCCTAGACCATGAGCTGGCACCTAAACATGCCCAAATCCATCTAAATCCTATGAAACCGAATACCCAAACCCCCATACACCAACAGAAACAAGACTATACCCTCTACCAACAACCCGAAAACCTGAACCCTACACCCTAAACTGTCGACACAGCAGGACGGGCAAGGATTCGCCCTGGGGATCCGGCAAAACTGGCGCGTCCGCTCGGTCGGGGGTGTGGAGGTTCAGAAGACCACCGACCTCAAGGCCGTTGAAGGGTTTAGGGTTTTGGGGCTTACGGCGTTGGGTTTCGGAGTTTAGGGTTTTGGGGTTTAGGGGTTTGGGGCTTAGGGGTTTTGAGGTTTAGGGGTTGGGGCTTTGGGTTTAGGGTTTGGGGCTTTGGGGTAATTACCATAATTCCAGTTCTTCAGGGCTAAAATTGAGGGTTCCTGATCCTAACATTAGTGCAAGACATCCCGAGGCCCTCTTCCGTTTCTTAAGGGCCCTATCCTTTTAGGGTTTAGGATTCAGGGAAGGGCACCCCCTACTCCGTGGACGGAGTTCGATACACATTCGTCGCCAGCAGCCCAGCTACCTGTATAGTAAGCTAAGGGTTTAGGGTTTAGGGTTTAGGGGTTTAGGGTCTAGGCTACAATAAGGTTTCTATGGGTTCAAGGGACAGTCATTCTAGGTAGTTGGGCTCCTATTGATACCCTCAACCCCGAACCCTAAACCGAGGTAACTCGGCTCCTATACGGATACCCTCAACCCTAAACCGAGGTAACTGGGCATTTCTATACCCTAAACCCTAATCTCGAATGCTTCACTCGTCAACTGAACTGGAGGATCGCATGACGAATCTCATCACGCAGGTGCGCTGCTCAGCTTCTCCGCCAATCTCAGGGTTTTTTGGGGGTTTAGGGTTTTTGCTTTAGGGTTTAGTATGTTGGGTTCAGGATTTAGGGTTTAGGGCTTTGGGTTTAGGGTTTAGGGTCCATGTGCCCAAATAGGGCAAACCTTCAGTTAATTGATGTAGTCCCTATATAGATACTACCTGGGCACATGGACCTTTGGGAAAGCAAGAGTGAGACAGTTGCATCAAGCCTGGTAATAGCCACTGGCGTGACCTAAACCCTAAACCCTAAACCCTAAACCCTAAACCCTAAATCCCTAAACCCTAAACCCTAAGCCCTAAGTCCGAAGCCCGGAAGCCCTCCACTCACGGCGAGAACGGTAAAAACCCTAAACCCCAAACACAGAGAGAACAGCAATGCCCCTAAACCCTAAACCCTAAACCCTAAACCCTAAACCCTAAACCCTAAACCCTAAACCTAAGCCCAGCACCTCAATTCTCGCCGCTACAGTAGGCCGGAGGCTTCTTGGTCCGGGGCTTGGGGTGGTGTGTCGTTTTGGCTTAATAAGCTCCAGACTCAGAGGGCTTTACAAAGAAGGATTTACAAGCTGAGTGGGGGGGGGATGCAAAAGTAGGGTTTGGTTTTTGTTCTGTTCAGTTTCCGGTTCAGAGTTGGTCAAAGGTGAGATCAGAGCTGACGGCTTCGAGGGGGATTGTACGAGGTTTTGAAACCTGGTGCGAATCACCATAAACCTCAAACGCCCGAATCCCGAACCCTTAAACCCCAATTCCCTAAACCCTAAACGGGCACGTTATGGACCTCCGCAGTGGAGCAAAAACGTGCTCAACAAAATAATGCTATAGCAGCATCAACAGTCAAGTACGGCTTGATCAGAAGTCGGTCTGATGTCCACCGCCACAATCCCCGAAAGCGCCGTTGTCATCGTAGGTCCCCCAATGTGCCCTGGTACACAATGTTCAAGACCATCCAAAACACAAATGGGAATCTGGGGAAATGGCGGGCCTCAAAATTCTTTCTTAAGGATAGGGGTGTTTTTCAAAGAGGGTCTTCTGGCACTTGTGGGGAGCATTGGGTAAACATACGCAATCATTCCAAATCATCCTAAAACATTAAAGCACATAGATTGTTTGTTGGTGATTTTTTGTGATTTTCGTGATTTTTTGATTTTTTGAGTTTTTTGTTTTTTCGAGTTTTTTTTAAAATTTTTGATTTTTTGTGATTTTTCTGATCTATTGTGTATTTTTGTGAATGTTTCTGAATGGTTATGTATTTTTCGTATTTCGTGTATGTTTTGTTGGTACGATGGCAGAACTTGTTCATGGCTTAAGGGGCCCTGCACTGCCCACACCTGGACGCTAACCGAAAAGAAGGAGTTGAATTAAAACGAACTTTATCGTATGATTTCGAGGGTTTGTGTATGTTTCTGCATGTTTTTGTATTTTATCGTATGGGTATCCAACTACCAGAAGTACCCTTTTGAGAAAGCCCCTTA